TAAATGACTTTATTGTCTTTCGAAGTATTCTCCACGAAAATTAATACACATCTGCATGCGCTCAAACCAATTTTCAAAGCACTTATTCCACTTGTTTGCTGGCATTTTTGAATGCGTGCTTCTTCTGGTGACTTTAACCTTTGACCACGCAGTCTGTTTTTAATTTTCGGGAAGGTAAAGAAATCGATAGGACTTAGCTCGGAGCTATATGGAGGATGGTCCAACAATTCCACGTTTTCTTCCATTAAATAGTGCCTTATTTTTTGGGCTGTGTGCGAGTTTGCATTGTCTTGGTGGAGGATGATTCTTCCTTCGGGGTTGATTTTTCGAAGCTCGGTGATGACTTTTGGCAAACAAATGGTGGTATACCAATCCGCAGTAATAGTTCTTTGCTCATTAAGAGGAATTGTTGCAAGATGACCCGCTTTAGACACAAATGTCGCGACCACCTTTTTCGAAACACTAGGAGAACGGATGACTTTTGTTGGCTTTTCTTCACCTTGGAACACCCAAACAGCCGTCTGTCGTTTATTTTCTGGTTCATAACAGTAAATCTACAATTCATCACCACTGACAATGCTGTACACATTTTTTGAGTTTCCGGTCAAGCGTTTTTTGACACCAATTAACCGTTGCTGCTTTCTGCTCTTCAGTCAACAGGTGGGGTATCCAACGAGAAACTAATTTTCTTACTTCTTATTCTTCATGTAAAATTGTTTGAATTGAGGTCTTTGAGATCTTCAAGGACGCCTCAATCTCGCGATATGTCACATGTCTATCTTCAATGATGAATTTGCGCACAGCATCGACGTTTTCCTGGGTGACTGCCGTTTTTGGTGCACCCACCCTGGGATCGTCGCTAGGCCCGTATCGTCAGTCGTCCCTACAATTGTAGGGCGCCTTTATGGCCTCCTTGATTGTCGTAGTTTTCTACTTCTTCGTGTCAGCGCTCTATTTTGAGGTTATGTCACAAACATCTATTTGCATCAAATTGTGCTTGCTTTTGAGTTATATCATGTTTTATCAGCCTGAAGTTTCCTACAATTTAAAAAACATATCTTCACAATAGGAGAGCGCTGACGCTAATACGGGCAAGTGTAATCTAGAAATTTTTGAAGGCGAGAAAGGAGTATGACAATCAAGGCGGCCATAAACGCGCCCTACAATAATTGTAGGGACGACTGACGATACGGACCTTAGACGGTCCACGTTTGAATTCTCGATACCAATGGAAAATTGTCGACTGATGTGGCGCTTCGTTGCCGAAAAAACAGACAGTAACTCAGCAAGGCATTCTTGTTGCGATAATTGTCTCTGAAAGTTGTAATAAATTATGGCGCGAAAATGTTCTCGGTTAAGTTCCATTTTTCTAATGACTTAGTGACACTTAAAAATTCGCTGTAGTGAGAACACTGCACGTATCGTTGTGAAACTTTGAATTTAAGAGTGAGGTTAAGATTCAGTACTGACGTTCGATCCGCGCGGCGTACTAAGTTTAAAATTTAAAAGACATCCCTCGTAATATACTATACAGGATGTCCCAACGAAAATGGAAAGTTGTTTAATAGAAAGACTATAAAAGATATTCTAAAACGGTTGGTGCAGCAAGATTGGCATCATCTTATAGGTGTGTAGTTTTTAATTATTTAGAAGTATACAGGGCATTGCGCAATTCTGTGACACAACAAACATGTTGTTATAAATAAACCATCGGGAACAGCTAGGAGCAGTATTTTTACATAATACCTGTGCCGGACTTTGCATCCATTGGAACATCTCATCAGCACAACATGATCTACCGCTATGCGAATTTTCATTAAAAATTAACCAGTGGTCAAGTCCTATATGTTTTGTGCCGGCTTCTTTCTCAGATACCCTTGAATATTCGCAATTTATACACAGATACTTTTTTGCGTAAAGAGTCAATGTATTTGACGTGATTATTTTAAAAGAATCTATTCCACTTAACGTATTTAATATTTTTAATATGTTTATCCTATTGCACTGTTACATACTTCCTTAATTTCGTATATTAGGATTTTTCTATTTCTAATACATTCCTTCTTGAGATATGGCGTTAATAATGGGTGATTTTTTTGCTAGTATCTTTTTGGCAACACTGTTTTTGACAGATGACGCGTGAATCGTGTCTTGTGTCATTGTCAAACTTGTTCAGTTTGGTCTATAATTTAACCATGAATCGACTTACGAACGAACAACGCTTGCAAATTATTGAATTTTACTATCAAAATTCATGCTCGGTTAAGAGAGTGCATCGAGCATTGCTTCCAATTTATGGGCAATTCGGTTGGCCTACTGAGGGAGCTATTCGGAAGCTTGTGACTAAATTTCGAACCCAGTTTACATTATTGGACATTAAACCACCAACACGCAGACGTAGAGTGAGGACTGAAGAAAATATTGCGGCTGTATCCGCCAGTGTTAGTGATGACCGTGAAATGTCGATTCGCCGCCGTTCGCAGCAATTGAGCATCTGTTACTCCACTACGTGGAAAATTTTGCAACAGGATTTGGGCGTAAAACCTTATAAGATACAGCTGGTGCAAGAATTGAAGCCACACGACCTCCCACAACTTTTCCCATTTGGAGAATGGGCGCTGGCAAAGTTGGAGAAAGATCCACATTTTTATCGAAAAATTGTGTTCAGCGACGAAGCTCATTTCTGGTTGAAGGGTACGTCAACAAGCAAAATTGCCGCATCTGGAGTGAAGACCAGCCAGAAGCATTGCAAGAGCTACCAATGCATCCCGAAAAAATCACTGTTTGGTGTGGATTATGGGCCGGTGGCATCATCGGGCCGTACTTCTTCAAAGACGACAATGGCCGGAACGTAACTACGAATGGCGAGCGCTACCGTGCGATGATAACAAACTTTTTTTTTGCCCAAAATGGAAGAGCTGGACTTGGCTGACATGTGGTTTCAACAAGACGTTGCCACATGGCACACCGCATACGAAACAATGGCCCTATTGAGAGGCGAGTTCGGTGAACAGTTTAATCTAACGTTTGGGGCCCGTCAATTGGCCGCCTAGATCGTGTGATTTAACGCCGTTGGACTATTTCTTGTGGGGCCATGTTAAGTCTAATGTCTGCACGGATAAACCAGCAACGATTAACGCACTGGAAGCCAATATTGAAGCATTTATTCGTGAGATACCGGCCGATATGTTGGAGAGAGTGTGCCAAAATTGGACCTTGCGCATGGGCCATCTAAAGCGGAGCCGCGGCCAACATTTACATAAAATAATCTTTAAACATTAAATTATATCAACCGTTCTATCGACTCAAATAAAGATTTAATCGTTTTTTCAAATTTTTTGTGTTTTTTTTAAAATCAAATCCTATACCACTTAAAAAATCACCCGTTATAAGAAAGGTATCCAGTTGCAGGGATATTCGTAGATACCTTCATCGATTTTCATTGAATACGGATCTGCTGATTTACAAGACAAATATCTAACACCACGTTCGTGGTTTATTTTTCTAACGTTGTTCTCCTTTGTTCCAGAAGGGAAGAATGCAAGCGTAAACCAAAAGGAGTATCGATGTCAAATGTAGTGGAAGCCAAATGACGCCAAGCATACCAAAGCCGATCATGTGCAATATGGAGAACCCGCTCATACCTCGACCTCCAGCTCTACCGGAAAACCTCATCGTACCTCTTAATTCCAATGTACCTTTCTCCGCAAAGTCTACCACGAAATCGAAGGATGTCGCTTCAAGAGATGCTAGTGTTAGGAGTAGAAACAGCATGGGATCTCAAGGTATAAACATAATGAAAGTAATTACGACAAAATTATATCAGCGATCTCTTGGAATAATGAAAAGTAATTTTACTGGAATAAATAGGTTGTTGAAAATGGAGAAAGCACGTCGATATTCATAAATGTAACTTTTACAATCCACTTCAGGTAAAACCAAGCAAATTCTAGATCATAGAACCAATAAAGGATTGTTCTAATATTTGTGTAACGTAGTTTAATTAGTTTAATTTATCAAATCGCTATTTTCGTTGCAAAATGGCACAGAAAGAGAATATGATCAGAAAACTTGTTTAGATATATTTTTTTCAACAAAGTAGTAAAGCGAAACTGGAATGGAAGTTTGCATAAGAGGCAGCATGCCACATCTGATCGAACGTTATCGTGATATCATGAACGACATGAGCCTCTCCATAAGACTAGATAAGTTTACTTCACAGTTATGTGACGTAAGTTCAAATCCAACAATTTATCTTGCAAAACATATGGTTCCAGCACGATGGAGCAACTTGTCACACAGCTAGACAAACAATGAATCTTTTGCGAACAATATTTCCGGGCCGTTTAATTTCTCGATTTGGTGATGTCAACTGGCCACCAAGGTCCCCGGATTTAACGGCTCCTGACCTTTTTATGGGGATTTTTGGAAAATAGGGCTTATGCCACCAAACCAAATACTGTAGAGCAGCTAAAGAACAATATTCCTCCCGAAATCTACGAAAAAGTGATGGAAAAGGAAGGAAAGATGGCTCAGGCTTTTAGAGACGGACATGTGTCTGATATTATTTTTCATACATAATTTCTAAGTTTCAATAAAGGATTAAGAAGAAAAAAAAATGGACGTGTTTTATTTTATTTCATAAATGTTCAAGATACAAACCAGTCAGTTATATATCGGCCACCCCAGTGGCGGCTCGTGGCAAAATAAAACAGGTGTTCTGCAAATCCGAACTTACCTATTTTTTATGTCAGTTCGATCCTGCGCTCCTTCTTGGCAGGAAATTTGTCGATCACCTTCCCGTTGAAATTTTCCATGGTCGAAATAAATTCCTTTTCAATGGACACCATCGACAACGCTGTAAGGCGATCCTGAGTCATAGTATTTCGAAGAAAGGTCTTGATTCTTTTCAATGTTGAGAAATTTCGCTCAGCCTCTGATGTTGACATAGGAGTTGCAACAATAATTTCTAATAGCTTTTTTGTTTGTTTTAGTGTTTCCTACAAACTATTTTGTATCAAAAATTTCAAAAGAGACAGAGTTCCATGTAAATCTCGGTAATCATTCCGTGCATAAATAACAGACAACTCTGTCTTTAAACGACTTTTTTCTAATTCGGGATAAGCCAAGCAGGTAGTTTCCAGCTTGTCATCAGGAAACTTACCACAGTATTCTCCAAAGTGTCCGGGGAAAAAAGGGATGCGGCTACCAAATCTTTGAATTGAAATCTGTCATTTGCAGAATTTACTATATTGTCGCATACTTCTAATGCGGCAACTCGGTGATCGTGACTGCTATTATTACGTCGTCTCCTTTTGTTCACTTGGGGTTCAGTGCAAATACTTTTGGCTTCTTTTATGTTATCAATTTTATTTCTCACATCGACAATACATTTTTCAAAATTATAGATAGCTGTTTTAACTTGCGCTGGCTCGGTTTCTCTCTTCTGCGACTGGTTGAACAAGATGTCGACGTGAGTCATGACATGATGAAAAAATGTCAACCAAAACGATTACCGCAAGCTGCCTTGCAAACGGTTTCATTGATGAAATTTTCTTCTATTTCTTCCATGCATTCAATGAGTGATTCTCTGTTCTCAAACACTACATTTATTGTTCGAATATTAAAATTCCAACGAGTTGTTGCTCCTTGGGGAATTTTTTTCCCCACAATTCTGTTCAGCACCTCTACGCGTTGAGGAGAATTATTAAAAAATCCCGGAATATCTTTCAAATCCCCAAAGAACACCCGAACTTGAGAATTTGCGGAAGCAACCATTTTCACCCCTACTGAGCGAGGGCCGTGGCAAATGCTTGTTCCGGAAGTCGTTGTATCCAGTATACAACTTCTTATAAAATTTGTTTTTCGAACATCTGCGGGATCAACAGCAACATTGATGCTGTTCATCACTACCTGCAATCCAATCGTCCCGCCGTGCTTTTCTTGGCGGAGACAAAAATCTCAGAGACTGCACCGATTAACCATCTCAACTTCCCAAACTACGAGGTGCACTCCAATCTGAGAAAGAACGGGGGAGTTGTGGCTTTTGTCCGCAGCAGTCTTTCCTGCTCCAGGGATCTTTCTTTGGAATCAGACCGGAAGGACATTCTGTGGCTTCGCCTCAACTCCAAAACATCACCCAAATTTATTTGCTGCCTTTATCGCTCTCCATCGAACCATAACTGGGATGACCTACTCGAATACCTCGCCGTCCAGATCGACTTCCTGAACGTCAATCACCCCGCTTCAGAGGTAGTTCTTCTCGGTGATTTCAATGCCCATAATGAGCTTTGGTTGGGCTCAAATAAGACCGATGCAGCAGGTCGTGCAGTCGAAGCGTTCGCTCTTACTCAATGGCTGACCCAGCTGGTGACGAGCCCTACTTTTTTCCCCCGCGTCTCGTCACACGCCAGTAGCCTGCTGGATCTCTTTCTGACCACGCATCCTGCCCCTTACAGCACTGCTGTCCTGTCCCCCCTGGGTAACTCAGATCACGGTGTTGTGGAGGTTAGGTTTCGGTCAGAAGCCGCTGTGGCAGCAGAAACTCGCACAGGCCGCAAAACTTGGCATTACGGACATGCGGACTGGGAGGGGCTCAGAGACTTCTTCTCTAGCTTTCCTTGGAGAGATGTCTGTTTCACTGACGCGGATGCGTCGACTGTCTGTTCTTCAATAACCGAAATTATCCACGTCGGAATGGAGGAATACATCCCTCACACAGTGAAAGTTCCTAAACCAGGGTCCAACGGCTGGTTCAACAAATCGTGTGACACAGCTCGCCAGCAGAAGATCAAGGCCCACAGAACCTACTTACAAAACCCCACTGTAGAGAACAGACAAGCCGACGTCGAGTCCAGAAACAAATATAACGAAGCGGTTCGCAATGCCAAAAACCAGCATGATATAAAAGTTAGGCACAGGGTAATGTCGCAGCGCAATGGCAGTCAGTCTTTCTGGACGCTGGCCAAGCAGATTGAAAAGAACTTCTCACACAGTAGCCTTCCACCACTTACGTGTCAGGATGGAACTATTGTATTCGACTCAAAGGCCAAGGCGGAAGTGCTAGCCAAGATCTTTGCTGCCAACTCGACCATGGACGTCCCCACCAACGTCCAAGTGCCGTCAATTCAAAGGGTTCCCCACACTATGCGGGAGGTAACATTCAGGCATAAGACCGTAAGACGAGTGCTCTTGTCGCTCGACATCAACAAAGCTTCTGGTCCGGACTTGATTCCTGCCATTGTACTGAAGAGATGTGCAGCGGAGCTTGCTCCAGTTCTTTCACGTCTCTTCCAGATATCTTATGAATCCGGCACCTTCCCAGAAAACTGGAAATTTGCTCATGTACAGCCCATCCCAAAAAAAGGATCTAAAACCGACCCTTACAACTACAGGCCTATAGCTCTGCTTTCTCTTATAAGTAAAGTGATGGAGAGGTGCATAAATCGCGAGCTTCTGGACTACCTCGAACGACACAGCTTGATTAGCGACAGGCAGTACGGTTTCCGGCACCAACGATCCACAGGGGACCTCCTAGCTTACGTCACGCAACTGTGGAGTAAACTCATCCAGTCTCATGGTGAGGCTCATGTCGTTGCTCTTGACATCGCGAAAGCGTTCGATCGGCTGTGGCACGCTGCTATCTTAAGCAAACTTCCATCCTACGGCCTCCCAGAAAAGCTTTGCAGATGGGTGGCTGACTTTATCTCTGGCCGCAAGATATCCGTCGTAATTGACGGATTCTCTCTTCATCCCACAACGGCAACGCGGGTGTTCCCCATTGATCGGTCTTGACTCCAACACTGTTTCTCTTACATATCAACGACCTCCTTTCCTGCACGATCAACCCAATCCACAGCTTCGCTGATGACAGCACTCTACATGCAGGAATTCAGAGTGACAAGCCAATCTCTGCCGCTGAGCTGGAAAAAAGAAGACTAGCGACGACTTCTTCTCTGACAAGAGACCTGGAGGCTATCACTGCTTGGGGACGCAACAATCTTGTACAGTTCAATGCTTCCAAAACACAGTACTGTACTTTGACGAACAAAAAGCGTCCTAGCGCTCATACAGTTTCGATGGACGGTCGAGTTCTACCAAAGAGCCATTCATTTCGGCTGGTCGGAGTCCAGATCACCGAGGACCTGATCTGGCACGAACACATCTCTTCAATAGCTGCAGCTGCTGGGAAAAAGCTAGGCTATTTGTTTAGGGCTAAGAAGTACTTTTCTCCGCATGACCTTCTCACTCTATACAAGGCCCAGATAAGGCCTAGCCTCGAGTATTGGTCACACATTTGGGGTGCTGCCGCCCCGACTACATTGTCCATGCTCGAAGCTGTCCAGAGGAGGGCGGTCCGACTGATCGATGACTCTTCCCTAACAGACAGTCTCGGGACTCTTTCGCACCGGCGGGCCGTCGGCGATCTAGCTCTTTTCTATCGCTACACCAACGGGCTTTGCTCCTCAGAGCTCTCTTCCATGATGCCGCCGCGCGATGTGCCTGCCAGACAGACTCGCCTGACTTCGGCGTCCCATCCTAACCGTGTCAAACTTCGTACATCCAGAACTGGCCGATACGACCGCTCCTTTGTCCCGAGGGTGTCTAGATTGTGGAACAATCTACGGGAGGAAGCTTTTCCCAGTTCTACTAACCTTAGGCAGTTCAAAAATCGTATTAACAAAATTTCTTTGGGATCATCATAGCAGCCGCGGTGTTCCGGCATTTAGGCTTCTGCCTGCGCGGCTGTTTCGATATAAAAAAAAGCAGCTTGGGACATAATCAGGTTTAACTGATGCGCATAGCAATGCACATAGTGAGCAAATGGATATCTTTGTTTAATTTTTGCATGTACTATAGCATTATGTCCGCTCATTACCGCGGCTCCATCATAGATTTGTGAAATCAGTTTGTTAGGCAAATTTCCTATTAATGGATCTACGATGCTCAAAATATGTCTTGTGAGAGTCAGCGTCACATTTTTCGGGATTCATATAATTCCAAAAACTTCTACCTTTTCGCCGTTAAATACGTATCTGAAAATTGTTACTAATTGGGATTTCCCCGAAATGTCCGTTGTTTCATCTGCTATTATCGCCAAATACGAGGCTCTGTTAATCTGTTTTATTATTTCTTCATGAGAAACTTCAAGAATACAATTCAGTAGATCGTTTTGTATTTCTTTCGAAGTTCCTTTAAATATTGAAGCATTTTTTATGTGTTCGCTTAAGGTTGTATCAAAAAAATTAATCAGTCCACGAAATATTCCCGGGTTTTGGGAGCTCGCGGTTTCGTCGTGGTCCCGTAGCGCCAATTCAAATGCTCCGCAAAATTTTATACCATCGATTATTTTTGACAGAACGTACCTGTTTTTTGTTACGGTATCATTATGCTCTTGTATATTTCTCCAATATGCTGAATCTAACTGAGCTATGATGTTAACAGTCCCCAATAAAGCCAATTCCATCGAATTATGAAGATGTGTTTTAGAGTTTTCATGCTTCTTAATTTTTTCACTCAGGTGCACTAAATCTGTAACACCTACCTCCGTCCAAGCTTTTTCACCGCCGAAAAGTATGCAAGGAAAGCAGAAAAGGGCATTCTTCCTGTTGCACCCACAAATCCAGTCATTTCTGGTGTAAATCTCCCTGCTGAAATGCCGCGTATAGCCCGTGCCCCGACTAACGCCCGGTGTTTCTATAAATATGTCTGGCAGCGGTCGACCTGACACCTTCAGCTCAATTTTTTCTTCAAATGTGTGTTTTCAGAATCGTTTCACACTGATAAGTCTGTAAACCACATCTATTGTCTTGTACTACCCTTCTACACAGCCACAGTCAGTCAGTGAGTCACTAGTCACTCAACGTAAGATCCAAAATATATAAATAAAAAATTGTTCGCATTCAAATTTTAAGCCACGTCACGGGACAAGGACCGAGCACCGACCGATAAATCTGATATCGTACTTCGCATTAGATCTGTACGGATGTGTATAAATTGCAGCACATCGTTATGCTTAAATCGCGCATTTGATTTTGTAGAGAGAGACAAAAGCAAGCGCGTGCCGCTTGTGTCGAAGTAGTGCACAGACTCTTTTCAAGTGGCCCATGAATAATGTTAATGTTAGGCTGCGGTCGCGACGAAAATGACAAGTACACAATTGGTCGATTATAATGCTTTCTTAGTACACAACAGACTCGACGCCGTGTCTTGCGGGGGCAGGCCGGTATTGTTTCTATTTGTGTGATAACATGGAAAATAAATAATGATCAAATTACTACTGCTTTTTTCTGTTAAGACAAAAGTTTTGGCAGTTCTGCAGCTCTGCAGAACTTAAGGGGTTCTATTATCATTAATTGACAATATCTATGACATAAACAGACTCACTTTAAACCAATCTTCATAATGGAATAGTAACAGATAACACTGGACAACAAATTTTAGTTTTCTAATTGTATCTTGTGGGAAAAGTGCACTTCTTTGTTAATTTTGGGGCGCTGAATCCAAAAATGACAATGAAATAAAAAAATTAGTTGCGGTTTAGAAAAAACTTTTTATTTTTAAGGATATATTAAAAAAAGTAACAAGATTCATATACTTATAAGAATCACTATATGCGCTGTCTTTTTGCTGTTCTTTTATGGATCGTTTCTGGAGCATCTCTAACAAGAGTCCAACAGTAGTCTGCAAGCATGGAAGGATTCCACTTTCCCTGGTACCTTTTTTCCATTGTTGACATATCCTGATGAAAACGTTCGCCGTGCTCATCACTTACGGCTCCGCAATTGTCAGGAAAAAAGTCCAGGTGTGAGTGTAGGAAATGTATCTTAAGAGACATATTACAGCCCATCTTTTGATACGATGACAGCATATTTTTGACAAGGGTTTTATAGTTGTCAGCTTTTCTATTTCCCAGGAAATTAGTGACCACCAGACGGAAATCATTCCAAGCAGTTTTTTCAATACCTGTTAAAGTGTTTTCAAACTGTGTATCTTTCAAAATATTTCGAATCTGTGGCCCAACAAAAATACCTTCTTTAACCTTTGCCTCACTTAGCCTTGGAAATTTCTGACGCAGGTATTGAAAAGCTGACCCATCTCTATCTAATGCCTTGACAAAGTTTTTCATTAGGCCCAACTTGATATGCAGTGGTGGTAATAAAATTTTTTTCGAATCTACTAATGGCATATGCTGTACATTTTTTTGACCTGGCTCTAGGAATTGACGAACAGGCCAGTTTTGTCTGGTGTAATGAAGTGCCTTTGCCCGACTGTCCCATTCACACAAAAAACAGCAAAACTTTGTGTAGCCTAGCTGCAGCCCAAGTATTGGTGCTCATCGTATTTTATGCATATCAATAGGTACTTCATATTGTCATATGATTCTTTCATGTGAACCGCATACCCTACAGGAAGAGATGGTAAAATATTTCCAATATGCAATAACACTGCCTTTAAACTCAATGTTGAACTGTCTATAAACAATCTCCATTCTTCTGGGTTATAGTTTATATTTAAAGCCGCCAGTAAGCCGTTAATGTTACTGCAGAAAACCAAGTTATTCTTCATTTTGAAAAATGGTTCTAAGTCTTTGTGGCGCTTACGAAAAACACATACCGAAACATCGTCTTCTAACAAGTTCCACTGCGGCAGTCTTGATCCAAGTAACTCTGCCTTATATTTTGGAAGTTCAAAATCTCTTACAAGATCATTTAATTCTGACTGTGTTATTTTGTGCGGTTGGTGGCATGACGTGCTCGGTATAAAATCAGGATCTCTTGACGTTGATGGCATATCTTCTTCCTGACGAATCACTCGATCGCCATGATCTGATTCGTTTTCTGATTCGCAAGTCTTGAATTCTGGGGGTTTTGGAATAGAATTTTCGTCACTGTGAGGCACAGGTCTCATCGCAGATGGTATGTTTGGGTAGTTAATAACCGATCTTTTTTTCTTGGACATACCTGTGGCTTGTCCAACACAAGGTACCATGCAAAAGTAACAATCATTAATATGAATTATATGATTTGTAGGCTCTCTCCAAACCATTGGGACAGCAAAGCGCATAGACCGTTTTTTACCATTTAACCAGCTCCTCAGACTTGAAACACATGTATTACAGCAGATGTGGGGTGCCCACTGTTTGTCTTGATCACCTAGTTTACAACCGAAATAAAGCTGATATGCCTTTGTTATTAGTGGAGTAATAGACCGTCTCTGAGACGCAAAAGTCACATCACCACACACGTAACAAAACTGATCTGGATCGTTTACACACTTTCGAGACATCTTGCATGAACGCTGTCAGCCAACTGAGGAAAAAATGGCTAATATAAAACAATATAATGTACACGTATGTATAACGTAACACAATCATGCCGATTACATCATCTTTCCTTGCCGAATATAAAAATGTAGCACGTGCATTCTTGTGAATTACAGTATATTAACACTGTCACAGCAGGAACACATATAATTACCGTATCTCTAAAACTTGAACTAATATTGAAAAAATAAGTTTCATTCCGGTTTTAGCACATTAAAAATAGTAATATTTTGTCGATTTTATTTAGGATATTTTGTGGCTGTTGATCAGTGTAATTGAAATGATAACTCCTAAGGCGGTTTGAAGATGTACTGGAAACAAAAATACGGATGTTCAATTCCATTTTGAAAATTCACGAACTTTCAGGTGGATTTGTCTTTGTTGAAAACATTTATGGTGAAACTAGATTTTCATTAACTCAGGTGGCACTAAATAATGCATTGGGACGTAAAGCTACACATTGCTTTTCAAAAAGGTACCCTCTACCTATTTTTTGAACCAGTCTGATATTGTGAAAAATAGTAACTATATATTCTAAGACTACAAAGTATACTTTATCTGAAGTCACTTGAAACACTGTGAAATACCGGGTGCGTTTTATATATCTATATTTAACACGCTCTGTTGCTGCAAAAATCGCCAAATTTCGCAGCAAATATCCCCCGTATAAGATCAAAGGCAGTTTCACCGGTCCGCGTGGAGTATAGCACGCCTATGCGTGGACATAGCCAATGAGAAAGCGTGTATTTCAGAGCTCTGAACAAGTGCAGGTGGCTACTGAAAATTGAAACAGTTTAGCCAGTGCCGTGTAGCGGTGAATAAACGTATTTTCTTTAGACTGTCCGTGTTTTTTCATAGATTTTATTAGTTTGTGTGTTTTTGACTTTTGAATACTCAGTTTACTTGTTGATTTAATTGTTGTGTTGATTGTTCTTGTGTGTCCTAAATATGGATCTTTGGAGACCTTGGGAAAATGCTCCAAGCCACGAGGAGATGGTTGATGAACCTGTGCAGGCAGAATTGTTTCATAAAGATTTAGAGGAACAGACCCAAAGAGTAATCCTAAATATGTATGATTGTCTGAAAAACGAAAATCCAGATTCCTCGCAAAATCAAATTTTAAACAGAATTTGTATCCTGACAAAAATCAGTCGGTCTAACATTTATCGGGTTATAAAAAGGGGAGATGTAGCCAAACATTCCTTCCACAGAAAGCGCATAGGGCAAACATTAAAAAGAATAGACGTGGGTTTTCAGGAAGATATTCGTCGTATAATATACGGATTTTATAAAGAAAATTTAGTGCCCACGTTGGAAATGATACGGGATAAATTAAAAGATTATCCTGAAGATTTTTATAATTACAAATGCTTAGACTCACTGCACTGTATTGTAAAACTGTGTGGTTTTCAATACAAAAAATTAGATAAAAGAATGGTGATTATGGAGTCGTCTCGAATCGTTGAATTGCGCCAAGAATTTTTGCACAAAGTTAAAATCTATAGAGAGCAGAAAATAAATCTGATTTACCTGGATGAAACGTGGTATGATACCCATGATGTTGTGCAGTACGGCTGGGTTGACGACAGCAACAAGTGCATTTTAAATGCACCATGCAACCGTGGAAAACGAATCATTATTCTGCATGCTGGCAGTGAAAATGGATTTATACCTAATGACTTGCTGTTATCTGCCAAAAATATCAAAGAATCATGTGCCGACTATCATGAGGACATGACCTCCGACTTATTTGAAAAGTGGATAGAGCAGCAGTTAATTCCAAACATTTCCCCAAATTCAGTGATTATTATGGACAATGCGCCATACCATTCCCGACAGAAAAACAAAATTCCGAATACAGGCACAAAAAAACAAGACATTATTGATTTTATGAAGGATAAGGGAATGGAAATACCACAAAAATCAACCAAAGCCATATTATTGGATCTTATTAAAAGACAAAAATTTGAAAAAGAGTATGTTGTTGACAATCTGCTTCAGCAAAATGGCCATGAAGTATTACGTCTACCTCCCTATTACTGCATTTTTAACCCGATTGAGTTGGTCTGGGCTGCTTTAAAAAAAAGTAAGAAAACATAATCAGACCCCTCAATTAAGTGAATCGCTATTGGCCACAATAA